ATTTCGCTCTGCAGGCCCCTGCCTATTTGTTATTGTTACTTTTTTGGTGCTTGTTAGTGGATTGCAACGAGGGAAGCCTTGTCACCCTCTTCTGAAGGTTAGCAGCGATCATCAGTCTTACAAATATTTTATCTGCAGTGACATTACAATTCCAGTGCTCCTCTTCGTTCTTTTCTTCGGCTGAGCTGCGGAGAAGACTCGCAGAAGTGTTTTGTTCCTTTTTTTGTTGTCACTCACGCATAACTCTAGGTTACTCCCTTTTCCACATACATTCGCACGATGCTATTCACTAAAGGCATTTCAGAAGTTTTTGTTGGTTGTTACCGATCCATTCGTAATGTTATTCTCTGTATGCGGTTTGAATCTCTCGGTGGCGACTGGTGAAAATTTTTTAGTGGACATTATCGCTAAAAGAGGTTTATCAGTTTTCTACTTTTGGTATATTTTGGTCTTGAAGAGGGACAGTTAAGATTCTACCCGCTGAACCACCCAACCGGACAGTCCATCGCCACATGGTGCATCGGTCGTTTCTGTGAAGGACTTAAAGGAAGCGCGCAAATATTTTTTTAATTTGATTTCCATTTAACTTTATTCATTTTCACGTGCTCGACTTCGTAAATCGCAATCAATCCTGATAGACTCTATTGTGATCGATTTCGCAATTTCGATAACCAGACACGTTATTTCGCCACCCTTCATAGGGAGTTCGAGTTTTTGATTTTAGTATTTTCAGAGAGGAATTTGAAGTACACAAGTACTAAAAGAGCGAGGTCACTGCGAAGAAGAAGTCGGAAAGTAGGAAGAAGAAAAACTAGGTAGGAAGAAAAAAAAAAACACGGAGAACTAAAGAGGAAGTCTGAAAGCACAGGAAATAGAAGAAATCAGTCGTGATCCCTCAGACTGGCCATCCGTAATTGCGTACTTCACTGGGACGCGACGGCGGCTGCAGTAGGAGTGGCGATCGATGCTGCATGATCACCTGATTTCAGCGATTAATTTTTCTATTTTGCCTGTTATTCTGCTAACTAGAAGGAAAAGTGAGTTCATATTATTTACTCTAATTTGAGGTTTTATTGTATATTTTGCTTTCAGTCGCTATTTGACTGCAGTGACGGTGTTTTTACCCACTTTTTGATTTTGTTTAGGTTTTTTTGTTTGTGCTTTGAATGTTGGACTGTTCTCCATGGCAGTGTCGTTATGTGTCCTCATTAGTACAAAAAAAAACCTAAACAAAATCAAAAAGTGGGTAAAAACACCGTCACTGCAGTCAAATAGCGACTGAAAGCAAAATATACAATAAAACCTCAAATTAGAGTAAATAATATGAACTCACTTTTCCTTCTAGTTAGCAGAATAACAGGCAAAATAGAAAAATTAATCGCTGAAATCAGCTGATCATGCAGCATCGATCGCCACTCCTACTGCAGCCGCCGTCGCGTCCCAGTGAAGTACGCAATTACGGATGGCCAGTCTGAGGGATCACGACTGTAGATGGAAAGATCGAAGCGGTTACTGACGCACAAATTCAAGAGTTAGCGCTCGTGAAGAAAATCTGCGAGTGAAACGATAGAAAGAAGGACAACCCGTTGCTAGTAGACTCGCAATCAGCACCATAAGCGCCATCTCGACAAACACCCATCATGATTGAAGAAAGAAACAGCGAAGACCGTTGCGAAATACCCACAGGAAGGAAAGGAAGAATCTTTGGAGTTGTGGACACTTGACAATAACCTCAAAGGTCGCCAAAAATGCAAGAAAACGATATTGAGAGTGGGAACCGTCTCTCGCGAGATAACGGAACCTATTCGTCTGTTATTCCGCCTTCGAAAAAGGGAACCATGAAATGGACGTATCTCCCATGGTTGGCATAGCGAAAAGAAGGAAGGAGATTGTAAAAAAGAAAAATTGTGCTGGTTTTTATCAAAGAGATGCAGGGCTTTCTACGCGAGAAAACGTGCAGGTACTCCAATAGTATCAACCATCACGAATCGCTGAGTCACCCTGCCGGAAGAGATACAGACACTGAGGGGAAAAAAGAAGAAATGAAGTACTCAAAGAACTGACAGGCCGATCCCCTGGCAGTGTGTCGCAGTAGGTAAGGGCTCCACCCTGCAGCGTCTGTGCCCTCCCCGCTCTTTCGTCTTTTCTGTTTATGATAGCAATCGATTTTATTTCACAAGCTCTACAGACCCCTGCCCATTGTTATTTTTTTGTTCTTGTTAGTGGATTGCAACGATGAAACCTCGTCACCTCCTTCTGAAGGTTAACAGCAATCATCAATCTTACCGAATACTTCATCCGCAATAACATTACAATTCCAAAGCCGAATCTCTTGGTTTTTTTTTGAGGTTGGAGTTGCGAGGGAAGACTCATAGAAAAGAGTTGTTCCTTTTTTGTTGTTGCCCACGCATCACGCCAGGTCCCTTTTCCCTTTTGATCCCTTTTATATATACATTCGTAGAACGCTATTCTCTACAGGCATTTTGGCACTGCCCCAGTCATCCGAAATCAGGCCAGTTCTTGACCGACTTTTTTCTCAGTGGTCAGAATTTTGCTGAAAACTTGGCTCCCAGAGGTAGTTTGACCCCCTGACACGCAAATACCACTTCCATTTTGCATGAAAAAATCTCATTTGTCGTATGATCAATGCTTCTTCGGAAACTCGCACTCGCTCAGCGTTCACACGCAAACTCATGGAAATGGGATTTCCTATTTGCGCGTGAACGCTGAGCGAGCGCGTGACGTGTTCAAAACTGACCTTTGCAAAGCCCCTTTGCTCTCCATTTAGCTATTCTCATAGCTCTGAACATCCTTCATCGCCGCAACCGCGAATGGAGCTGACTGATTTCAAATGGCTCGACCTAGTTGAAAGCTCAAAATGGATCCCCATGAATTCCGAGCATGGTTGCGCAGACTAGGTCTACAAGTTACACCCATGTGCCCCAAGTGTTCTGGTGTCATGACGCTCCGACTTCAAGACGACGTTTGGCTTTGTAACAGGCGTGAGTGTAGAACGGACAGCGGAACGAAGCCGTCTCTCTCCTTCAGACACAAGAATTTTTTCGCCAATTCTAAACTTCCCGAGGTCACCATCTTCTCAATCACTTACTTCTGGCTGCGTGAACTCGGCTCTTTCAGAACGAAGTCTTTCGAGCTCGGAGTCAGTCGGAAGATGTTAACCCACTGGAGGAGTATTTACGGAAAATTTGTTCCAAGTATCACAAGAAAAACCCTCCCATTATTGGCGGGCCCGGAATCAGTGTAGAGATCAAGCAGTTCCTGACCGACTTTTTCCCCGTGGGCAGAATTTGCTGAAAATATGGCTCCAGGGTAGTTTGACCAGCTGAACACGAATATCGTATCCGTTCAACCCGAAAACTCCTGGCGCCCGCGCCAAAATACTCGAAATCACCAAATTCGCTGAAAACTTGCTCCCAGGGGTAGTTTGACCCCTGAACACGAATATCACATCCGCTCAACCCGAAACCTCCTGGCGCCCGCGCATTTACTACAACTGCGACTTAGGAGAACCAGAAGAGAACGAGCAGCAAGCCAACGTGAATACGATCGCAACGACAGCGGATATCAGAAGAAACTGCCTGGGTAGATTTACAAAGCTTCAGTTCCCTAACGAAAGCGAAACGAGTGGCAGCAACAGCGCTGAAATTTATAAAGAAAGTCTTGCGCCCACTACCGGAAGAATCGCGTCAAAGAATATGCAGGAGTATCCCAGAATTGAAGGCTGTTTCTGAGAACGGTCCGGTCCTGCAGGCCACAGACATACGAGCGGCACGTATGTCACTAATACGTCACCACCAGTCCATATACTTGAACAAAACCTACAGGAATGGAAAAAACTCACTGAGGCTTTTTCTGGGTCCAGATAGGATCTGGCGTTCAAAAGACGTCTTGGGAACTCCACTCTAAATGACTCCACCAAGACTCCAATTTTTGTAGCTCCAAATACAGACTTGGCACGGCTGATTTTACACGAAGCCCATGGACCTTTCCATCAGGGGATAGAACACACGATTTCTACAGTTCGCCAGAATTATTGGATCCCAAAAGTACGGCAGGCAGTACGCAAACTAACCAGCAAATGTGTCAATGCAAACGCTTCAACGGCTTGCCCTATCCTTACCCTGACTCAACGGACCTACCGACAAGGAGAGTGGTGCGTAGTCGCCCATTCCAACATATTGGACTTGACTTCTTTGACCTACCATCTGACTCCGACAAGCGTTGCTATGGTTGCATTTTTACCTGCTTTTTGGAGATGGTATACAGCATGAATACTGCGGGCTTTATCAACGCACTCCGGCGTTTCATAGCAAGAAGAGGAGTACCCGAGTCAATCACATGCAACAATGCACCCACGTTTCTACTCACCTCCACACTGTTGTCGGATTGCTCGTATACACATGAGATCAATGCAGAAGTTCAGGAGGTAATCGCCACAAAGGAAATTCAGTGGAAGCATATTACTCCTTATGCCCCTTGGCAAGGTGGATTTTATGAGCGTCTCATCAAATCCATCAAACATGCGCTTTACAAGTCCTTACGGGGTTCCGGAACGCGTTCAAGCGAACAGTTACATACAATTTTGACGGAAGTGGAAGCATGCCTAAGTTCACGGCCATTAACCTACCAAGGTTCCACTCAGGATGACCTCACTTCAGTTAGACCCATAGACTTTCTACACGAGGATCTGAGCTTAACTCTACCGATAGATACACACCAGGTTTCCGAGAACGACGAAGAATATTTACCACCCCCACAGGTTCGAGCTCTTCAAATACGAAAAGAGGTACTTGGCGTCCTCCAAATCATCATATGACGTCACAGAAAAATTTTGGAAAATCTGGCAAGAACAGTACCTCATAAGCTCTAGAGAAAAGCATAAAAAGGTATTAACGAACCAAAGACATGCTCAACACCCTCCACGAATCGGAGATGTCGTGTTAGTTTGCGACCCGGTACTTCCACGGAATGACTGGCGAATGGGTCGCATCACAAATGCTAGATTGGGCAGTGATGGGACCATACGCGAAGTAGAGCTTGCAACATCTACGCATCGTAAGATTCGTCGGCCGGTGAACTTACTAGTACCACTTGAAGTAAACGCTGGTGATGTCATGGAAGCCCATCATAGAGATGAATCCCAAACACATCAGCATGAAGAGGTCAGAGGGACACAAAGAATAGAAGAACCTCGTTACAACTTGCGTCCACGTCGTGTGACCAGTGCTGCGGAAAACAGAGCGAACACGACTTCCGTTCGAAAACCAGAATCATATTCTTCCAAATTGTTTATTTTTTACATCATGCTACTTAATTTACTGATACCAGCACGAGCAGTAGCATCAGCGAACGTGCAGATGACATGTACCCCCGCGGGTGTACTGATCCATGCCCTAAAAATCAACCGATAGAGATATGTGCTCATACATCTTGCACATTTGTACACGACGCATTCAAACCCATTTTTAGCAAAATTGCCCCCACATGTTACCTTACACGATCATTTAGTGACTCTGAAGTGAGAAACTGGGGGTCAACTAGCGGTTATGGAGACCACTTGTCGGAGACAAGACTTCTGCGAACAGCTTGATTGTTGGTTATGTGCTGCAGCCCTCGTTAACCCAGAATGCCGACCGGTAGCTGCCATTACCACAATCGCCTTACTGTTATACACTTCTGTTGCTGTTTGCTATATACTGCTGTATGTACCAATGACAGTCGGGAAGCCCATTCGGCTCATCCTTCCTGGACTGTCGCTACTCGTATTGAGGATCATTCGCGCATTGAAGCATATTGTTTGGATTCTCATCAGAAGCTTAGCTCGCTGCATCCCGGGAAATAGGGAACGATCACAACGAGAACGGCTGATCGCCGCTCTGGCAATAATACTGAGCGCGACAGTAACTCAGGTGCACACATGTCAACACGTTAACGTTCTCGAGCACCATCTAACAACATGTTCCAATAATGGCACCCACGAAACATGTAGAATCACACTTACTGAGCTGCTCAAAATCAATACATTTCACCGTGAAGCTTGCTTACGTCTTACCAAAAATACCACCTTGATAGCAAACATCAAGCTTCATTGGAAAGGGCTCTACCTGAGGTGCGCAAAAACCACCAAGTTCTTTACTAGAGCAACAAAACTGAAGCAGATCAGTAGTAAACGATGTCCATGGATGGGATCTTGCCAAGACCTCAAATGTGAAGGAGTCAATAGATCCTTCCTAGGTACCAGAGCTAGAGCCAGGCAATCACTTCCCCGGTCGCACCGGATGCATGGAGTCATGCGGAGGCCCTGGATGCGGCTGCGTTATTCCAAGCGCAGGGTGTTTATTTTACAGAGTCTTTGCTACTCCAAGGAACGATAGGATCTATGAAATATTCGGATGTGCGAGATGGGCCGAAGAAACCAAAATCAGTGTGACCATCGAGGATATCAACGCCTCCCTGGCAGCACGCAATTTTGTTCTAGCCCTCACTCCGAACGTACCAAAAGAACTACCACTTTTCACCATTACAATGACATCTATCTCTTTACCACCAACTCCCTCACTGATTACGTCGTTCATAACCGATGGAAGAGATATTGCTCTGTGGGACGACACTCTCAAACCCCACTTAGTATGTCCAACCGCAGGACATGCCCGAACACTGAACTGCTCCTTCTATGACGACTGTACCTGTAACGCGGCGGAGACCATTGTGAAATGCACGTGCTCGGATGTAGACATCACAGCAGAGTTTGGCAGAATCGCCAGCAAGCTCCCAATCACCACAGCAGCATGGGAAATGCAAAAACGATCCAACTCGGTCGTAACAAAGATATCCAGCATGGTGTCAGCGGATTTTATGATCGAGTTCAACCAGACGATCGACACGTCGACTAAGGTTACATCTAGTCAAACATGCGATGTTGCAAATGGTGCCGTTGAAGGTTGTTACCACTGCCCAAAAGGAGCACATGCCACGGTCTCATGTCGTTCGCCCCGTGCCACCCAAGGCGAAACTTGTGCGGTCACCATGCGTTCGTGGTCCCGTGTGGACCTACACCTGTGGAATCGACCCTACGGTTCCATCTCGATTCAGCTCAGCAGTTTCTTAACTGTTCGATTCGATGTGGCGACAAGGTCAAATATTTCACTTTGACCGGGATTTTGAAATACACCAATGATTTACATGAAACCGTACGAGTCATGCTAAAAGGAAACTCTACCCACTACCATGAATTCAAATTACCGGACTTGACCCACATAGCTACCGTAATATTCAGTTGGTACAAAACACTCCTATGTGGCCTGATAGGGGTGCTACTAGCACTGTTTTTGTCCTACATGTTTCTACAAACCTTAGGACTACGATTATGCCGAATTTTCTTGCACGGCACTCTTAAAATCTTATGCATTCCAGTGCATATTACGATATTTCTGGCAAAAAAGATAAAAAACCTTCCATTTCGACGCAAGACGCATGAAAAACATCTCTGACAACAGAACTGCTGACACATCAGCGCAATTCCTTTTAATGTACATATTCAATATTTTACTATCAACATATTTCGCTTTACTTTTATTAACATACCACCTACACATTTCCTATCGCTTCTTTGCAGATCAACAACGCAACATGTCTACGCTGACGCCCGTGTCGAGATCGCAACTCCTCCTGAATCTTCGAATGGAGAAGCTGAAAAATCAACAGTTGCGGAAACAGAACAAGAGGCTCATGGAGGCCCTCGAACCTTTGCCGCAACCGCGAGAACTTTTTGACATGCTCGTACGCACATTCACTGAAGTCAGTCACACGTGCAGAGCAGTACTTCGACTGGATACCAACATTGACCTGCTAAAGTTCTCTCAGGACCATCCATACGTCAAACACTTGAGGATCAACACATTGGACACTCAGATCGAAGCTCTCCGCCTACGTTTCCACTTAGCTCGAGCCGAACTCGTCCTCTTACATAAACAATACGCTGGACTCACGGCTACAAAAAGGTTGACCCCGGAGCTTTGGGAAACATACCTTGCAGAAACTCATCTGGACGCTGAAGACCAACCGATTGTTCTTGATCCAAGCCTTCAAGAGCAGCTGATCCAGAACTATATGGAGTTCCTTGGGAACTATAGTGTAGCTCTTGCCACAGTTCGGCAGTCCATAGAGGAGGACAACGACTACGATCAATATCGTGACGATCTTCTGAGAACCCAGGAAGCCTGGTCATGCGAACGGAATTCATTCCAAGACGTAGTGATGTCCAGGCTCGACACCATCTATGGCATGCTCAGTGCCACTACGAGGAAAACAGTGGAACAGAACGTGATAGTCCAGACTCAGGAAACCAAAGACAATCCTCCGAGCGCTGCTGTAACACCAGCTACGAACAGAGCGTTGCCTGCAGATACACGAGAAATTGAGCAGCGCAGGATTCAAGACAACGTAGGATTCCTGGAATCTATAGAAATTGACGTTAACAGTCCTCAACAGCTGCAACCCGAGAACGATGAAGGGCTAGTCGTTGTGGACGAAGTCGAGAGCGGCGAAGAAGACTCTGACATAGTGGTGGTAGTGGACAATCCCCCGAAACGTGCTCGCATGAGCCCAGCTCAAGAAGAGCCCAGACGACGTGTTATTTCCACCTCGGAATACGCAAAACGTCAATACGCTGAAGCTCAACATAGTCGAGACACTGACATTCAGCAACAGCGATACGCAAAGGATAGTCCACATCCACGTGCAGATGAGTCTGAGAGCCTTGAACAGCAACTAAAGATACAACGAAATTGAAGGCCCGCGCAGAGCACTACTTGGCAAGCTTGAGAAGAAACAAACCCCATGCACGGCGAAGATTCCTACCAGAGAAGCCGACAAAGTCCACTCTACCGTGTGTGTTCTGTTTAGCCGTAGGAAAGCATTATTCGGACGCTTGCCCGGTACATCCCGACGTAGCCACCAGAAGGAAAATAGTCAGAGACGCAAATCGATGCGAAATCTGTCTCCTTCCGCCTCTACTACATAACAAATGTCTACGAGCAGGAAAACCATGCAGGCACTGTGGCGAAACCGATCATTGCGCAGCCTTGTGTGTGGAGCCGGAGAGAGCTATGCGGATATCGAAAGAAATTGCAGAACACAGCCAGAAAATTAAAGAATACGAACTCCGCATAGAACTCCTCAGAACAAGAATGAAGCAAATGAACGAACAGCACGAAACAACACCAAGCACATCTGGCCAAGTGCCAAAAACACACTGATGCTCAACTATCACCTATGCGCTGCACAACATCGCGCATACCTGGCCCGAGTGCCAGCAAAACACTGATGCTCAACTATTAACGGTGCGCTGTACAATATCGCACACACCTGGCCCGAGTGCCAGAACCACGCCGATGTCCGTTCGTGATGCACTCCATCGTGTACTCGACTGGCCCGTAGGCCAAAAAGGTTTGTGTCAATCTACACGTCGATTAGTAGAGTAGAAAATCACATATACGGACTCGCACACATGCCAGGAGTAGGGGCGACGAACCATGAGCGGGGAAAAAACGAGCGAAGACCTCGGATTTTTTTTTCTGTTGTTTTTCATGACAGTCACTTCCCCTTTTGTAGAATATCCCTTTGGGCCGGGGGGAGTATCGCGACTATTCGCGATTTTACTAGTTCTGTATCTGTTGTAGTGTTGTATTTCTTCTGTTTAGCATTAATCTCTTTCATTTAGTGTAATGCATGCCTCATGTTCTGTGCAAGCATGGTCAGCTTTCACATGATGCGGTCGCTTTCGAGCCTCTCGCGAAGCCATACACTCTTTCTCTCTCTCTTCTTATAAACATACAGTCCCGCCTCGGGAGAAGCTCGGAGGCGACAGTGCCTTCTCCTTTGGCAGCGCAGCTGCCTCTTTCAATAGTTTTATTACTTTTGCTCTTTCAGTTTATACTTTATTCTTTTTTTGGGCAATGTTTAATTACCCAAGTTTGAGGGATAAAAGTGGTGTGTGTGCCGTGATCGTCTTGTTCTGGTATATCCTCATATTATCTATTCACGCGTGGCAGGACATTGAGGAAAACGTAGCATTCAACTTACTTCGTCTGAGACAGGAATCTCAGGGAAATTCGAGGAGAACCGAAAAACCTGAATAATGTGACACTTCACGCGTTCAATTGCACCTTTTACTTCTAAACTTTGAATTACTGATTAGAACGAATAACAAGGGCTCATAATACATTTTAATAGTTACCAGTCGGATCGCCCGGCTAACGCCGAGCTCTCCTCCTTCTCTTTAGCTCGGCTTCGCCAGGCTCGCTCCATAATTTTAACGGAGCGTTTTCAATAGTGGGCTGCTCATACGGCGATGTAGTGATCGAATCGTAGCAGATAGAGCAAGGCTTGGGATCGTGCACTACTTAGCACAGGCTTCTATTTGCAGCAGGGGTGTGGTCCGCGCCATTACGCCCATACAATACATAAATCTGTAGATATAGATACAACGTGTAGTCGGCCAATACAGGGCAGTTTGAATCGCTCAGTAAAGAGCAGATTTCGTTTCCATTACCTGCACCGAAATGCCTACCGATGTACGTTTCCCTTTTCAATTAGCATGCAATCCGCTCGCTGAAGTATAACTATTAAAATGTATTATGAGCCCTTGTTATTCGTTCTAATCAGTAATTCAAAGTTTAGAAGTAAAAGGTGCAATTGAACGCATGAAGTGTCACATTATTCAGGTTTTTCGGTTCTCCTCGAATTTCCCTGAGATTCCTGTTTCAGACGAAGTACATACCCCCCCCCCCGCGCTCGTCCACATCCGCATTATATAGTAGGATGAGTTCATTTTCTAGCGCTGACATAAGTGATGGATAAAGGAAAATTTTGCACACTTGCACACTGAGCCTTCAATACTTGGCAGTATAGTGATAAGAGAGGAAGAACGGCGCCTTATCTTTCTTATCAATTGATAAGATTGCCTGTCACCCGTCAACAATGTCCCTATCACTACTACTCTATAATTTGGTAGTGTAAAGGCTCCATCACTTTGACTGAGCAACAACGGCAACGTTCCTTATCAGCCCCTATCAGCTGTTATCACGTCCTGTCACCTGCCGTCGATGTCCCCATCCCCCACTCTACATCATTTTCTGAAATCAACGCCTAGCTGATGCTGTGTCCTGCGTTATGAGTATGGTGACCTTACCGTTCTAACTCCCCTTATCAAATCTTATCAGCTGATATCACTCCCTGTCACCCATCAATAATGTTCCCGTCACAGCCTCCATATCACTGCTTGGAATCAACTTCCTATAGCTACTGGGACCGGCGCTATGAATTTCGTGACAGACAGACAGACAGACGCACACACAGACACACACACGGACATAGCCAATTATATAATACCAGTAGGATCGCCCGGCTGTCGCCGGGCGCTCCTCCTTCTGTGACATGGCCCGGCGAAGCCCACACTGTTCAAAGGAATCTTCTGCATCAGCCAAGAACTGAAAAGCAGCGCTTGTTCCGTCAAGGCGCAGAAGCAGCAGCAGCGCCCCCCCCGCATCACAGAAGGAGGAAAGCCGGCCTTAGCCAGCGATCCGACTGGTACGTTCATAACCTACACGGAAATAGTGCAGCCTGTTTGGACAGCCACTGAAGCAGCCTATAATTTATGCAATCTGTCTTCCTAAAGCGTCTTGCTTTGGAATGCACTACCGCATTCAGCAGTGGAACCCTTTAAATGGCCCTCACTGAAGTTGCTGATGGAAGATAATTGTGGTAAGAGTGATAAAGTCAGTTGCTGCTGTTCATAACATCTCTGTAAACAAACCCCATGCATTTGGAATAGAGCTAGCTTAGCGGTCGTACATGATGTCGTTACTAATAAGCAGTGAGGAATGAGTTCTGTTGGAATCATTGAGATCGTTATACTTGAGTCATCGATCGCATTGTTGTTGTGAGCGGTGAAGCGGATTTTCCCATGTTAACTTGTCACTTTCAGCTCCTATAACATCCGTCACCCGCCAATAATATTCCCGTATCCATATCACTATCATATCACCCTAAATCACTTCTCGAAATCACGCTCTGTTGCCGTAACCTGCGTTACGTATTTGGTGATCATCCTCTTCCGAGACCCCTTATCGGATCTTATCAACTGTTATCACTTTCTGTCACCCGCCAATAATGTTCCCGTCCCACACCCTATATCACCTCTCGGATCCAAGGTCCCGTTGTTGCTGTAACCTGCGTTACGAATTTGATGACCCTCCCCTTCCGAGGCCGCTTACCGTATCTTATCAACTGTTATCACTTTCTGTCGCCCGCCAATAATGTTCCCGTCCCACACCCTATATCACCTCATCTGAGGTCCC